ACTTCTGTAACTTCAGACTATTACAGCTGTCTCTTATACACATCTAATTCTGTATAATACTTGTTGGTGGTGATTTAAAGTGATTTGTGAATTAGAATAATATTTGGCAGACCTTAATAATAATAATAATAATAATAGAAATAATAACTTTATTTAAAGCAATGATGTGATGCATTTCATTGTTCTTCATTGTCATCTTTCAAGTCAAGATAATAATGAAATCATGATAAAAATGCTTTGCCTGTATATATTATTTCCATAATTGCAAAGTGATATACAAATTTTAAAAATAAGTGAACAGGCTTTAATAGTGGTTGTTCTTTTTATTATTTTCATATATCTTTTAAGTTATATGTAAATTAAAATAAAAATGTGGGCGGTGCTTGAATGTATTTGCTTCACATTTGTTCAAATGAGTTTGATTATTAAATGTGGAGAAGATGCAATATGTCTGTGAAATTTCCAATATTGATTATATGACTAACTTGTTTGTCAAGAGCTTGATAGGAGAAGGCATACCCACCATATTGACCATTATTGACCAGAACAAATTCCAATATTTTTGGTCATTTTTTCAAGTAGAGGTGGAGACAACCTAGAAGAAAATCATTGTTCAAGGTTCAAGGAAGTCACCTCATGGTCTTCCAAATTTATGTTGGACAGATGGAATTAGGCACCTCACAGGGGTGTCGATTAACACAGCCTACAGAACAGCATTAGAAAGGGTCGCAAATGGTCAGTATAATAACCCATAGGACAAAGAGGATTAGATGATGCAAAGTAGTTATATTTAGAATCGCCATCCTGCATTATTAAAAACAAGAAACACAACAGCATCTCCGGTTTTTTTAAATTTTATTTAATACAAAAATGTATTCCGGTATAAAACCATAATGTAAAGAACTTTAATAATATTTCTTATTTCTGGGGATGCTAATTGAGAATGAAAACTACTGTATGTTTAATTGCAGTATTGAAACTCCTGAATGTCAAATTATGAAATAATGTACATTTCCAACAGGTAAGCTAAGCACTTTATGTTTGTCTCTTACCCTGAAGTTTACATAGGTATGCTTCTGCTATGTTTTATGTTTGACTGGAATTTGAGGCTGGGTGTTTATAAATTCCTTTGTTTCCAATGGCAAGATTAGGTGATGGCGATGATGATGTTTGTTGTGTGTGTTGATGGTGATCATGGTTGTGTATGGTGGTGATGGTCTAGGTTGTGGTAATAGTAGTTGTCTTTCTATTATCCTGTTACTATATTGAAAGAATTAAAGTGATTGTTATAATTGAGCTGAATACATAATTTGTTTTTAAAATTCTGCATTGCTAGATTTTATTAGTGTTGATCAGGACAGCTAAATTGAGTGGTAAACTCAAAAGGTTGGTTGGTTTTAGAATGTAGAACTACTGGAAATAGTGAGATTTTGAGTTTGATGATAACAAGACCATTTTGACTACATGTCCTGTGTTGTGTGCACAAAACATAATGATTCTTTGTCAATTTGCAGTTCAAAGCTAACTAATGGACACCAACTCTTAAAATTTAATTAATAACTTCTGTAACTTCAGACTATTACAGGCCACCAATCTAACGGTATATTAATCACTAAACAAGAATATAACAATTACAAGTAATAACAATCACTCCCCATAAGCGGAATGTACAATAACAATAATATTAACAATGCATTCAATACCGGCATTAGTCCAATACGGACATGAATTAACTACATATTATATAATATACATACTTATAACTTATTGTATCAATGCACACATCATTAAATTGAATTAACTATAGATTATAATATACACTTACATCATGGACTTCAGAACTGCATATTGCCAAAATAATGTGTGCAAGGCTTGCAACGGAACAAATGAAAACTCGTTGCAAGAGCCCACAAAAGCATATTATTATACCACGGGACAGCTGTGTATTTGCATGAATATGCTAAAGATGAATATGCAAATACAATAACAATAAAGCAACCAATCGCACGAACAAATCGAATCATCAAATATAGATATAGCATGTAATATTTAAATATATAAGTAATTAAATATATATTAATTTTATAAACAATTAAGCAATTAAGTAAATCAATAATAAATAAATAAATTAATATTCAATATAAGATAAATAAATTAATTTATATGTCTTGTGTTTTATGTTTTCTCACCAGATTATGCACAACAGTGGGGGTCCATCTATCATGGAGCACAGCCAATGGTGTCTGTCTGGAGAACATTGACTTGACCTATAACTATTTTCTGGAAACAATGAAAGATTATATTACGGATAACCGTGGCAATATAGGTGTTGGGTAAGTTGACCAATCAAATTTATAATATGTATGTCATCATCAATTAGCTTTTGTTCTTTTATAATGTATTTTACCAACTTTTATTTCATTTTTTTTTTCATTACTTTCAAATGTAAATGAATTAAATGTATAAATACAATATTAATAAAGACCCAACAAAATTGAATAATTGAAGATATAATTACAATTGGCAACATTAAGCACTCACTCATTTTATATATAAATTTGTTTTCCTCTTTCATGTCATTTGTATTACAGAAAAATATGTTCAATTTCTTTTAGCAAAATTCATATATTATCAACAATGATAAAAGTAAAAATGCTAACTATACATAAATGCAATGCATTTATTTTTTTGTAGTTTTAAATAGTTATACAATATCTGTTTTATTTGTTTGTCCATATGTTTTATTTAAAGTTGACCAATCAAGGTGTGTGTGACATCATCAAATAGTTTTTAAGAATTTCCAGTAGATATATTTTAATAAAAGAAAACAAATATTGTTAAATAAAAGGTGGCACAGACAGCAATAATAATATTATTCTTGAATTAAATATTATTACAAAAATATTTACAATGACATTATCCTTGAATTACTATATTATTAAAAAAATTCTTAATGACTTATTTATTACAATTTACATTTATTGAAGATTATACTGTCTAATTTGTGTATTTCATTGTCATTTTTAGTAGTTAAAAAATTTAACATTGTTAGCTTTGTGGTTTGCTACTGCTACTCTTCTTGGTCTATTGGAGATTACAGTGATTCCTGTTGGGGTATCTAATCCATCATCTTTATGATCTATTCTTTTTATGAAGACACCATTTTTATCAAATAGTTGTAGTTTATGACCACTTGATACTAATATATTTCCATCCATATCAATGATTACACCATGAGGACCCCAAACTTTACCATCTTCCTTACCCGAGCCTACAAGGATTCTCATGAATGTATCATTTGCATCAAACATTTGTATTCTATTATTTTTCCAGTTAGTAACAATCAGATGACCTTCCTTAGTTAAAGTGACATCTTCTGGGTTCTTAATTTGACCTACTTCACTACCTTCTGAACCTATCTTACCCAGCAGTCTACCATCATCAACATTGAATTTAAACACACAGTGAGCTTCACGATCTCCTACATACAGGACTCTAGTTTCCTTGTTAACTGTCAAGCCATCTGGATATTTCAATATTCCTTTACCAAATGAGCGGATTTCTCGATATTTATCATCACACATTACAACACATTTTCTTAAGTGATCACTGTACACCATGTGACCATCACCCATTAGATGCATTCTATTCACCTGCACATCTTGTGGCATCTCTATTCTAGCAACAAATGAACCTGATTGGTTGAACTTTAATATATCTTTACTGTAGCTTGATATTAGTATGCATCCATCTATGTCTAACACTACATCTGTTACTTTTCCTGTTTTGTGATTTTCTTTATAATCTGATATGTTACCAATGGTATTTATAAGTCCCAGTGCTTCTACCTTGATATTCACTGGAGATCCTTTGATGTGTGCCTCTCCTGCTATAATCTTCATTTGCCAGTCACCTTCCACATTGCATTTACCTGCTATTTTGTACTCTCCATTTCCTTGATATTCTACATCAGTGGCTGTTTCTTCATGTGATGGGTTGCTCAGGGTTGCAGCTAATTTACATGTATCACTCTCACTTAAGCTTGATACAGTCACTACAAATTGTTGTCCCTTTGCGACGGTAATTGCTTCATCATTTTTTGCAACCGTGTACATACCATCAACAGTTACAATTTTACCAATTCCCTCTGTTTTTATAAACTCTTTCAAGTGGGTAGATGGAATAAAATTTGGTGTAATATTTTTTTTATTAAATGATTGATGAGAGTCAATTCCTAGGACCTTGGCTCTAACAGTGTTCATAGTTTTTCTGTGTGAACCAAGTGTTTCTGTTTCTTGTGGTTTGTTCATCATTTTATTGATTGAGGCCATCACATTATTAACTTTAGTCAGCTTTGAATCTATGTCTTTAACTTGACAATCAATGTCCGCTTTCTTTTCTTGGTATATTTTTTCAAGGTCTGACATTAATTGTTTGCTTTTCTCTTGGACTTCCTTGATAAGTGTCTTCTCTTTCACTTCGATAGCTGTTCTACATAGCTTCAGATGATATTCAAAGTCAGATCTATCACTAGTGATTGAATCAAGTGTTCCTTTCAATTTTGTTTTAATGCCTTGAGCTATATTGGTAACTTCAGTAGCATTTTTGTTGAACTCATCAACTGCGGTTTTCATTGGTGTCACATTATGTTTATTTTGATAACAACGAAGAACATGTTCACATTTCTTACATGCTGTTTTCTTGCAAGTAGGGCAGTAAAATTCAAGTACATTGTTCCAATGAGTTGGACATTTGTTTTGTTCATCTTTGGCTCCTTCTTCATTCTCATCTAATGTGTACAATGGATGGTCTTTCAATGCAGGTATTATCTTGTGGTGTTTGGAGCATTCTGCACATAAGTATAGTAAGCATTCTGAACAGTGGTATTTTGGTGGATTATCACAGCTCGAGCAAATAGTTGGTTTTTCTGATTCAATTTTTTCCACATATTCAAGTAGATAATTTATCATTTTGTTGGAAGTGAGTTTTTTCAAATCATCTTTTTTTAATTCATGATGTTGATTACATTTTGGACACCTCAACTTGTCATGTGTTTTAATTAAAGTTTCTAGACAGTGAAGACAGTAGCTATGGAGGCACTTTAGGGTCTTTGGCTCTGTGAATCTCCTTAGGCAGATGGCACATTCAAGATCCTTTTTATCCAAAAATTGTAAGGCTTTTCCAGCAGCCATCTGTAAAATGATAAAGAATGATATACTTAAAAGTGTGTTCTAAAGGTTCTTTTAGATGATCTAATGTCATGTGTAAAATTAAGGTGTTACTATTTATTTATTGACGTTTCGCTTGCTATCAGCAAGGCTTAGTCATAAGTACCTACTGTATATGACAGTGGTGGGATATTCGATGTCAACTCGGATGAACCATGATGGTGAATTTTAGCCTTTGATGACTGTTTGGCATTTCACAAACGTGATGTGCGGAGGTCCATCTCTTTCAAGATGTTATTGTAAATATGTGGCAGTTCGTGTGCGCCCTGATCTCTGTTCATGTTATTCGTGTTTTTCGAAAGCCTACTGTCATATAGGTACTTATAGGTACTAAGCCTTGCTGATAGCAGGCGAAACGTCAAAAAATAAATAGTAGATCTTAATTTTACACTTGACTTTGGATCGTCTAAAAGAACCTTTAGAACACACTTATTGTTTGGATCCAATGAATTTATTCAACAATTTGATATACTTAGAAGTAAACTCTCTTTTTAGACCAGGCTATAATTGAGATAGGTGCCACTTGGAGAGGTAGAAATTCTCATATGGTTTTTCTAGACCAGTTTTTTATGGGGAATCGGAATATGTGAGGTAAAAGGGGCGTAACCTGAGAACTTTCGCG